AAAGTTTTCCCGTGACAAAAACTACAATGTGACTGATATTAGAGTTGACTTTCCACAACACAAAACAGTAACAAGTGGTTGTTTAATCAAATAATGTTTCTAGATGGATAATATTGAATATCAGATTGGTACTTTTATTAAAAACCTTGTAACATAAGAATTACCAGTTGGTCCTTTCTTGCTCCAGCCTGGTCGTAAGATGGGATCAGCTCACTTTTTTTAATCTGTACAGAAAACTACGTTAGATGCAAAACGTCTGAGTTGTAAATTAGAAGCCCATTGCATAACTACACCTTGTGATAGGTTTAGAGTTTTTTAGTTATTCATGGTATAGATGAGACAGGCTTGTTAGTGATTTTGGTCCTGTCTTACCCCATCATCTGACTATATTGACAATAAAGAAAAGAACAGGGTTAGCCTGTTGCCAATTCTTATGATGTTCTAGACTTGTTTCCTAGGGATCTGAGAACTTGCCTTTTGACCAGATCTATCCAAAACTGGTGTTGAACTTGGTAGCTGCGTGATTATCCCAAGTTTTTCTATAGCCTTATATTTTTATGTTGATCAATTGGAGTTATTATTCATTCAGTTTCACATTACATTATGCCTGATTATGGTCCCAGATATTTATTATTTATCATTTGTCAGCTTGGTTAAGCCATAGTGGTTTGTCATGGCACATATAAAAGGTTCTTGACTGGCCCTTGATGAATGAACATGGAGGCTAGTAAATACAAATACTTGCATAGAATATTTAAAAACGTCCTATATTTTAGAAACTCTCCACTTGTTACAGGGCTGACACACTATGATCTAATAATCATACATCAAAGCTGGAGATGGTTTAAGATACACAAATCTAGCAGCCAAATCTAAACTTAAACACAAGTTCCACAGAATAACAGAAACTGCAAACTGTCTAAATAAATTCCCAACGAGGACATTGCCTGGCAATGTCCAATGCCTTTTAAATGACATGTAACTGAGGAGCGCGGTGGCCAAAATAGGAGCGCGCTTGGCTATAGGACTCAAATATGAACTTGAGACAGAGTCTAAAAAGTAAAAAATGCTCTGCTTTGCCACTATGGCGCTTGCTCCAGAAGGAGCAGGAAGGCCTTAAGCTCAAGCTTAGGCCTGTACGAGTGCACTACAGTGCTCCAGCACCCAAATAACTGCCATTTCATGAGAAATAACTACCATATCCTTAACAATTACTACTCCTGGAGGCCTTAACCCTTTCGTGACTGACGGGACTGTGACGTCCCGCTCAATGTTTTACTCCATAACTTGCATACGGCGTACCATTTGAGGCATAGCTAACTACAGGGACACATGAGTAACACTCCTGCGTCTATGTCAACTCAAAAGTAATTGACTGACGGGACTGTGACGTCCCGCTCAACGATTTACTCTATAACTCGCATGTAGCGCTAAATTCAAGGCATAGCTAACTACAGGGACATATTAGAAACACTCCTGCGCCTACATATGTCAAATCTAAAGGAATATTAATAAAGTTTTTTGGGGTATGGTAGTATATAAGCTATTGCACGCATTTGCCAAAGGAAGTTTGTGATATTATTCAACTACTTACAAAAAATATTACGAAAATATTTTTTTTATCAAAATCAGTTGTCGCGGCTCCGGTAGATTTACCAGTTTTTGTGGCGTACCGTAGCTGCCTAATCGCGGGTCCGAGGACGGTAAGGATCAAAAAAGACGATCATCCTTTCTTTCTTTACTATCCAGCTATCCTCTTGCCACGATGAAATCCTGCACATTAGAATTTCTATAAGATACATTGAATCAATTTCTGATTCGAAGAACGTTTAAATGGGTAAAGTTTAAGAAATAAATTACATGAAAGTAATATTCGTAATGTACTACTGCATGAAATAACGACAAATTGAAACTACTTCAATGTTAAACGAGCTCGTAGGATGAGCATTTAACGATTCTCTATTTTTAATTTAAGAATTTATGAATTGCGTTCTGAACTCAGATACGAGGACATCGAATAAATCCCTGCACATCGGTTCCAAAATTCTCATCACTTGAATCTAAATATGAACACATGTACGACAAGTCATGATATTGATAACAATAAACGTGAGCCAGAACATTCTCAATGCCGATATTAGCAGACTAAGCTGAACTCAAAGGCACAAAGGTAATAAACAC